TTTATAATTTTAGCTATGTACGCAACAATCCTTGGGGAAGGGAGTAGAAAGAATTTAAGAGTGATTACCTAGTCAAACATGCAGTGTACAGTTTTGGGGTAGAAATGTAGGCTTTCTTAAATAAAAGAACCATCAGGTGGGTTCTGTTGAAAGTTGTTTTCATACCATATATAGCACACTAGTTACCCTCTGGCAGCTGTGTCTGCGCAAGTGTGGAGTCTGCAATAAATGCAGCGTCATTAACTAGAAATTCCTTTCCCCTTTGTAAACCAGGATGTAGACTACCTTATGTTTGTCTTGGAATAAATGTGAGCACACATTTTTGAGACCAGTCTAAATTCACACCCTAGTTTATTCTGCAATTTTTTCCAGCATCCATATCTCCGTTTCACCAGCCACAAAATGGGAGTGAAATTTAAGCTTTGAAACATCACTGAAATATTTTATAGACACGTTTGATATTTTGTGATGTTTTATTTTCATAATATCATTTTGTGCTGTCATTGGATGTTCGTGTTACAAGATTATTCATAGGTGGTTAGAAAAAGGGACAATTTTAATATAATTATGATGCTGTTTTCAGAGTTGCTGTATGGATAACTTAGCTACCTTTAATTTTTTTTCGTATTTCTTAAAATGTCATACGATTCCACCATCTGTTACTCTGGGAGGCCCTGTGTAGACTAATAATTTACATAGCGAAAGGAAGACATAGCCCTCCTCACAAAGAGTTTATGCTATTGACTGTGTGGAGTTCACCATTCCTTCCTTTGCAGTTAAGCTTGGTAGGGATTGCGAGGAAAAGATATGACACGGTTGTGTGATTTAGGTGGAACTTGGCAATTCACTTTCTTTTTCTTTTTTTTTTTTGGCTTTGGAATAAAAGATTTCTTTTTCATTTGCAGTCAGATTGTACCGATAACTTACAGCTGACTGACATGGAGGAGAACGAAGCCATAAAAAAATGTGACTAGGAGGATGGCTATGGTGTGTAAACCCAGGCAGGGATAGTATCTCACCAGCAAGGGAAGAAGATGAGTAAATCCAGAGTAGGAGTAATTGTCTTGGGGGGTGAAATAAATATAGGCCACAGTCAGAGAGTGGCAGCAGCAATACTTAAAACTGCATGAGTCTGGAAGGCGAGAGGGAGAAAAAAGTGAAAGCCATGGAATGGTGTCACCAGATAAACAGGAGAGACCAGTGCCCAAGACCTTGGCTCTCCTCAGAAGTGCACAACCAAAGGGCGAGAACCAACAGTCAGGACTCCCAGCAAGGCAAATTCTCATTAGTTACAAATCAGAATGTTTCCAAGCGTGTCTGGGTATGCACTGAAACAGGTCACGCTGGGAGACTCTGGAATTTCCACGCTGGGAGACTTTCAGATCTTGACTGGAAGAGGCTCTGAGCAACCTGACCTCGCGGTGTGTGGAGCCTAGCTTTACCAGAAGATTGGACTCAAGGTCTGCAGGAGTCCCTTCCAACCTAAACAATTCTCTGGTTCTAAATGAGAAGTGCCCCAAGGGAGCTGGTTTTTTGCTCCTCAAGTCATGCTAGGAGATTTGAAGCACTGTTTATAGAGGACAGCCTCTCTCCTGGAGCCACTGCAACCCTAAAATCCAGTTTTTATTCTATTGTCACCAGAGCAGAGACTTTCTGCCACTCCCAAACTAGTAACCTTTATCTCCTGGAAGTTAGGGAGCACGGTCATCCTTAGGGCTTCTTTGCACTGCTCACAGACAGAGTCAGCCTCTTGTAGGAAAGGTTGCCAATTCCCTTCTGATGAGGCAATCTCAGGCAGCTAGGAAAGATTGTGTTTCAAAACTCAAATTCCCATGAACTTGCAAAAACAAGTCATTTCCCTGGTGGCCTTTTCTGCATGGTATTGCTGCTGTTCATTCTGGATCCTATCCAGGGTAGTCTTTTCAAGCTGAGAGCAGATGAGTTGTTTGCTTGAAGCCGATGATACAGCACCGCAACATTCCTCTCTGTTTTAATGAGAAAATGTCCGTGGCTTTTGGAAAAAACTTCTTTTCTGCATTTGAGATAGCACTGGTGGGAGCATAAGCATTTCATACATTCTCTGTTTGGTATTTGATGCTTTTCCCATTTCATAGTAACAACTGCTTTGCACAAACTTTGTTTGCGTCCAATTGTGCAATCCAAAGATGCTGATTTCTGTAGAATTTATCTAGTGTTATTAGGGTAGTAATAAGACCTGAAATTTTATAGCATTTGATCTGTCCAAAGTGGATAGGGGTGAGTTAGTCTTCACAGCAAACACAGAAACATGGGTGGATTGTGAATTTCCAAATCTAATCCCTCCTCACGTCCTAGGTTCCTTTTTCAGTTTTGGGCCAGGGGCGGGGATAAAAGTGAGATTAAGTCCGGAAAGTGAGGTGCTACCCTGCTGCTCCTGCGAATCTGTCACTGACAGGACCAGAATTAGAATCTGGGATATTTTGATCAGAAAGCATGTGTAGCCTTGGTGATGTTGTGTAGAAAAGATTTTCAGTCTTTCACTGCATTGTAAATAATATTAAAGGCCCTTTGCAAAGTGCTTAGTGTAACCAAATCGTGCAATATCACTTTTACAGCATTTCTCTTCAGAATGACTCCTAGCCACTTGTTGTAACTGTACGCTTACTGTGCTATAATCGTACACTCATTATACAGTCATACGTGTGTGTATTATTTAATTTATTCTTTGCTATGTTCAATGTGCAGCAAGTGTGTATTGCTAAGACAACACCACTATACTCACAGGCTTTCTTATAAGTCAGCTCCCAGCCTTGTGCTTGTGAGCTGTGTTGCCCTGAATGTCCCTTTGGCTGGTAGTTCTGTTAAAACTGAGGTTTTTTTGCATGGGAAGTTAAGTTTGATTTTAATTTTGAGCTTTCAAATTAATGTAAATGCATGACGTTTTCACTGCATCGACTGAATTTTGTTGAAAGTTACTATCACTAACCCTTTCTCCTAAAAATAGCAAAATGAACACCAGTCGTGTCATTGTTGTGGTGAGGGTGTCACTCTGGCTTGCTGTTGGTCACTGATGAAGCAGCCCAGGTTTTGACACTGGACGACCCCACTAGCATCCTTGCGCTGCAGGTCATGTTAAACACATCTCTAAAAAGAATAGGGGGGGAAAAAGACAAAAAAGACTGATTCATGCTTTTAAAGTCTGTTTTTATGACAACAGTGAAATAATTAACTGATGAGAACTGGCCTTGAGCCTTTTTGTGACTGCATTTGATGTAGATCCTGAAATGTTGCTTATAAGTAAAAGAAACAAAAGTGATAAGAGTGAGGGCAGTTTTAAGTCCTCTCTTTTTGTGGGATACTGACAAAAAAATATTTTAACACATACTTGAAATACACGTTGGAGGCTGCAAAATGCTTCATTAGCCTTTCGTTCTTTGACAGTGAACATTAGGAATAATCTAGAATGCATGTGAAAGTGCTTTTGAATTAGGGCAGGATGCAAAAATATGTTCGGCTGCATCCGGCTTTGCATTTCTGATGGCCAGAGACCACGGGGGGGGGGTGGGAAAAAGCTGCTTGTTCAGGGTCAGCACTTCCCACACCAGCAAGCAGCAAGCACTGGTATTGCTGTGCCTTTTGAAATGTAAGGAAACATTTTAGTTTTTCTGATATTCCTACACTGAAGCTCTATCAATTGTGCAAACATTTAATAGTTGAGATTTTTTATCAAACTTAATCTAGCCAAGAAAATGAATTAAGTTTGTACTACCTCAAGATTTGCTAGGGAAATTATATGAATAGAACTACTTCTCTGCTTGCTCCTCTTTGTTGCTAAAAATATGTACAGTTTGGGAAAATATGCCTAGATCTGACTTTCCTGACCTTCTGCAAATTGTAATAAACTGTTCAGAGTACTTAAGCAAGCTGTGCTGAGAAAAGGTCAAAAATATCTCTTGGCATGCTTTTCCTCTGTCTATGGATTGGTCTTCCCTTTGTAAAAACAAAGATGTTTCTGTGAGTCATTTCTATTCTTTGTGTTTTTTCGAGTAATGTTTCTCTGAGGCATTTCTATTTTATATTCTTGTCAGCAGTATTCAGGGACATCTGAGTAAAAGTTCTGCTGCAGCTGATCAGCCTTTGACCAGGCTGCTTATTGGGGAAAGGACCTCCTGGTGCCACAGGCAATGAAAGAGCTGGATGGGATGAATTCAAGTTGTAAGGCAAAAAGCTGAGCCTATGAAAAACAAGTCATTTCAGTAAAAATTTGTCATTTACAGTGATATGATTGAAGTTAATCATATTGTATCAAATACCGTGACACCAGAGATAAAATGGCTTTGATAGCAAGGCAGTCGACAGGTATTGGTGTTTGATTCCTTTTTATGGGAAAACAGGATTGTGCTGGGACAAATTAGACCCGTGACCGCAAGTTGTCAATAAGCCATCTCTAAATTTAGTCAGCTGCTTTTAGCCGACCCCTGTTCCGCTCTCAGAGCATCTGAGCAACTGGTGTATCAACAGCCTTGTTAAAAATCTGTATTTCATTCATGCTGTGTCTGGGTGGATCTTTTTGTGTTGTTTGTTGTATGTTTTTAAAATCTTGAGGTATTTCTTGAAAGATCATAATCACGGTTCATGGCTATGGATGCATGTTGGCTGACTTCTTGTGCTACTTAAAAATGCATGCTGAGTATCTGAAGCGTGACTTAGCTTTAAAGCAGTGATTTTTGCTAGTTCTTCATGGGTTCAAGTAGGAAATATTGCATTTTCCTTATTCTGAAGGAAGAGAGAGGTAAAATAGAAAGATTTTCTCATTTTAAGTCCTTCTGTTGGGCTGTAGCCATGTTTCCATGGTAGTTATATCAGGATGACTTTTGCAAATAACTTGTCTGATTTTGTTTTTGTTCCACATTCTTGTGTTACTTCGGCAATGATGGATTGAAATTGCAGCAATACTTATAAACTTGGTTTAGCTGCAATGAGATGAGAGTGGCATAGATTTGATTTTTTTTTTTTTTTTTTTTCGGCTGCGTAAGGAAAGGCAAAGTTCTTGTCTCCAACCAAGCAGGAATTTATTCTTGAAATAGGCAGCGAAGTTCCAAGATTAGAATAGATTGCTGTAGTTGATCTCATCCCCCTGCATGAGTAATTCTGGGTGGTTATTTAGCAGACTGAACAGAAGATTATAAACTCAGAACCTAGCTTAGTTTCTGGAAACTCTGGAGTGATAAAGAACCTGGAATAGCTCCTTTACCAAGATTATCTTTACATTGAGGATAGCAATATGTAAATAATCTATCCTACTCACATCTCCGGACTATCCATGTAGCGTGCAGCTCCAAGGAATTTGCAGCTCCGTATTTCAAAGCTTCGTTCTGAGTATTTTTTCAAATGGCAAATATCCAACATTAATAATCCACATAGCAGAACTGGGAGGAGGCTGCTGTGGGGGCAGCAGTATCACGTTGAACTTCAAACAGTCTTTTTAATAGTCAGTACAGTGGTAAGTAGCGAACTAGTTTTACTACTGTCTTGTACTTTGTTGAAAATGTAGCCTTTTGACCTGAATGTTGAGAAGCAGAGTGAATACTGTGATATTTCTGTGTTGCTAAATCAGTGTGCTGAATGTGTTCCTGGTTTAGGCTAAAATGTAAGAGCTGAAGCTGTAGTCTTTAAATGCTTTTTGACTGCTTTGTTTAAAAAAGAAAAAAAAATCCCAGCTGAAGCTCAACTCTGTTGAGTTTCAGTAAAGAACATGTTCAGTTTCTTTTGAACCTTTGCAGCTGTTTGGTAGGATATTTTCTTGTGAAAAATAAGTTTTCATGCAAGTAAGTGCTTGATTTATTGTCTTGGGGATTTCTCTGTGTAATTACACATCAAAAGAACTGTTAACATGCAAAAAGAATTTTGTGCAAGATCAGCCACAGCTTTCTAAAAACTCGGTGCTGCTTCTGTTGTTAAAAGCACGCTGGTAATCCTACAGAAGGATTTCTTCATTATACTGGTTTTCAGAAGCCTAACCAATATAAGTAAAAGAAGTTTGTGTTTCAGTTCTCAATCACTTTGTCAGATAGTATTAATTAGTCTGAAAATTGTGAGCTCTGGGAAGAGGTTTGTTAAGACTTTGGACTGGAGTTTTGCTTATATATAACGCATTTTTCTTAGTACAATACTGGAGGAAGAGAAGCTGCAGCAAGAAGAACGAATGAGAATGGAATCCAGGCGACAAGTCACAGTATCCTGGGACTCAGGAGGATCAGATGAAGCTCCTCCCAAGGTAGCTAAATCTGCAAATTATGTAAACCAAAAAACAAACAAAAACCCCTCTTTATTCTGTTTCTTTCTTCAGAGCCTCCTTTGACAGGTTCATTCAAACAGCAACATTCTGGCCAATTTTGTCATCATCTGCTAATACTTCCCTGAAATGACCCAGCTGTACTTGAACTGTTGTAAGAACTGATCTGTGCTATAACATAACATGATTTTCTCTTTCTTGTTGTTTAACTTGTAAAAGACTGCCATAGTTGCCACAAGATTATTTCCTACGCTTTTCTCTAGTCTTCTTTACTGTTGCACTCCAATGAAACTTTATCTGGTGAGTTCTCAGACCACAGTGAAGTTAGTTTATAACACGTCAGTGAGATGATAGAAAACAGCTAATTACATTTTCCTTATTCTGGATATAACATTAGGGGTTTGCTTTCAAGGACCTTATGTGTTTTAGTTGACGCTTAATTTTGTTTCATTATGTATCTGTCCTGTTTGGATGTCACTGATGTGTTCTGCAGCTGTGCTAGTCTAACCTCACCAGTTGCTGAGCACTCTCTTCTCTGAGTAACTTGTCTACTTCTCATCAGAGTTATTTTTCACTTCAAAGGATCAAGCCTGTATTTTGAAGAATTTCGTTTTGCGCAGTCACCACTGTAATGTGGAATATTATCTGTGTTCTGATCGGTTTGTGATGAATTGCTGCAGCTCTCTACTCCAGCTCTGGTGCTGATTAGTGATTTCAGTAGTACTCATGTGGCACATGCTGCCGCACACATACCCCAACAGTCATAGCAAAGCAACTTATTTTTATTTTCTTTTGTTTCCCCATAGCCAGGTTGTTGCCTGATAGACTTCTGAGCTTGGTTCTGTGTTTTGATAGCTTCATGGCAACCAGGAAACATGGGCAGTGGAATTGTTGCTTTCATTTCAGCGTTAAAAACTGCAAACAATCCACCAACCTGTTTAGTCATCAGAGATTAACTACCAGGATTTAGTGTATATGTAAACAGACAATGTTCCAAGTTACAGAAGCAGATAAACTGCATAAATTGGAACAATATGCTACTTAATTAGTACAGTCTTGTTTGAAGAATTTGTTTAGTCTTGAAGCTTTGCTGCTAATCCAAAGAGAATAGGTACCTTTTATTAATGTAATATATGAGCTACACAGTATTACAAATGGTCATCATTAGAGCTTTGTGTATGATCTATAAACCGAAACACTTGACAAAAGATGTGTTAAGAGTGAAATTAATTCTACCAGTGCATCTCTTTTTTGAGGGGGTCCATATGTCCGCACTGTATATGCATTGCAGTTGTTGGTTAGATTTTTTTATACAGTATTTTTTGTAAAATATGGATGTGCATACTAGTGACGTTTGAACAAGTTGAATTAATAGATACGAGTTTTTAAGTATCTCTTAAGTTATTATCTAATTTTCTAATGGTGACAACTGATTTTTTTTCTTCCAACAATTCATTATAAAAGTTTCAGGTCTTTATAGGCCTTAAACTCTGTTTTATTTATAGCCTTAAACTTCTACACATTTTCAAATAATTCACAGAGGTCACAATTTGTACTATGAAATGACTTGAATCTCACAGTGATTTCAGTTAGAAACCTAAGACAGAAAATATCCTAGTACAGAATGATGATAACATTTTTCATAAAGTGATGGTAAATTTCTGCCAATCTCAAAGTAATGTAGTGGTTGCCTTTAGCTGCCAGAAGGACTTAAGGAGCCCGTTTGCATAATGATGAGGTTTGGGGGTTTATTTCCTTCTTAGGTTGATTTTTTTCTTCTCTTCTCTTGAGATACCCAGCAGCACTGTTCCTCATTTTAAAAAAAATTTTAAAAACCTAATATACCTTTGGTGGTTAATATCAAACAAGGGAGGATAGAATGTTGTTCCAAGCAACACTTCCCAACGTTATGTCTTTCAGTAGTGTGAAATTTCTGTACCTATTCTGGCAAAAGGATGATCTGTTCACTGTCGGTAGAAAACCAAGCTTGGTTTTGTGCAGTTTTTTGTAGTAGTGCTGTCCAAATTTATGATTACTTTTCTCGTGTATTTCTGTGATTATACATCTTATTTGTTTATGTGTAAAGTATTGCCCTTCTCCTGAAGGGGTAAAGCAAGATAATCAGATAAAGACTCCGGATAGCCATTCTCTAGCTGCCCTTTCTGATAGGAGCTAGTTCTGTCTTGTTTTTCCTTGGCTGGGAATGGGTTGTAAAACAAAGCATGGATAATGAAGTGACCATGGAGTTCAGAATATGAACCTTCCATTTTGAGGCAATTGCTACACAGAGCTCACTTTAGTCCTCACAATAACACATGGAAAAATATTTATGCTAAACAAACCAGTTTGATTTGTGTTCTGACTGAAGCAAAAGAATTTGCTTTTGGGAACGCTCACAAAATCAAAACTTGTATGTAGTGCAGATTAAAACCAATGCTATATTTGCACCTGGAAATTTGATTTAAGAATTATGTTCTTAGCTGATGTCCTCTCTGGAGTTAAACAGCGCAGAACAGGTCATTTAGTGCAAGCAATTAAATGTGCACAAATAATTCACAGAGCAAACATTATTTATTGACATACCTAGCAAACAATTCAGCTGCTTCCATTTCCAAGCAAAAATTGAAGAAATCTTCATTTTAGCTGTTTAAAATAACGTTAGTCATTTTAGGATATTTATTTTAGAGGTGGTTTTGAGCTTACTTTTGTGATGCATTACTTGTAAATGTTTATCTTACTGAAGAGTAATTTTCTGCTTTTAGTTTTCTGTTTCTTAAAGACTCTAAAAATTCCTTTACATTTACAGCCCAGTAGGCCTGGTTACCCCAGTCCAAGATCCAGTGAAGGGTTTTATCCTAGTCCGCAGCATATGGTACAGCCAAATCATTACCAGGTATTACATTTAACACTGTACATGTATTTTTTCAAATGTGGGATTTGTAACTCAGTTGCAGCTGGTGGTTTAGTTTCATTGAGTTCTATTAAATGGTTTTTGTTTTACATCAGAAAAAAACCCAAACTGAGCCTGGTAGGTTTACTCCAAATGTCAAATATTTTCATATCTGATATGGTGCTCAGATCCCCAAAACTACAATGAAACACATCAGACATTTTCATGTTTATTGAAGCAATGTGGTGTTCATGTTAACATTTACGCTAAGCTATGAAATTGCTTGCCTTAGAAAATGGCATTAACTGGTGGACTTTCCTTGGGCTTATTGACACACTGCTCCTTCATGTTTCTCTGAAACATCTTTTTCTGTTGACTGATAGTCACCTTTCGATCTACCACATTGTATACTTGGGTTTTGCTTTTCTTCCTAACACTGCTGAGGAAATTTAAAGCAAAAGTTTGTCATGAAAGTACTTAAAGCATTCTTGGGTTTGTTCAAAGCTACAGCCATATGCAGCAGTCTTGGTTGAGATTGTTTTTCCCATGGAGAGGGGGAGGTTTTCATTCTTTCAGTGAGTACTTCAAAGTCATTAAAACTACTTTGATTTTCCTGTGGAGAAGTTCTCATGCTGCACAGCTAATCACTCTAATTACATGCTGTCACTCAAGACTTAAGCTTGTAACATACGCTAGGGGGTATATTTTTATGTGGCTCTGTAGGGTGTTGTGCGTAGGCTTCTATTAACTTGAATACGAGCTCTGCATTTGTAGCTCTTACGAATGTATCAATAGATTTATTTTTGTTCATCAGAGGACCTTGATCTTCTTGGCTGCGGAGGTTAAAACATACTTTCTAATGCTCCTGTTTGGATAGGCATCATTAAATAGTTACTGTTACCTTCAAAAGTTATTGTCACATTTCTATATAGTTATAGTTACAGTTATCCTCAAATAGTTATTGTTACGTTATGATAGGCATCCTCAAAGACTTAAAAAAAAAAAAAGAGTTTTGTGTCATATTTTGCCTTGGCTTCTTTATTCTGTTGTTGCTTCCCCTCCTTCTCCCTCTCAGTGACTGCTTGAATTGAGTCATTTCTGCACTCATATTTGTTGAGGGGGGGGGGACGACAATTATGGGGGAGCATAGGTCTTATTAATATAAGTTTTTTTCTTTTTTTCTTTTCTTTTGTTTTTTTCCTCCCAAAGGTGTCTGGCTACCCTGGTTCCCATGGGATACCAGCCATGGCAGGCAGCATTTATCCTGGGCAGGCTTCTCTCTTGGATCAAGCAGATTCCTGGAACCATCGGCCTCAGGAAATACCAGTGTGGCAACCAAACATGGAGGTATTGTGAGCTGACACATCTGTTGTTGCACTCTGTACAGTAAATACACTTTTTTATTTTTTAGGTACATCTGGAGATTATTGTAGGAAAAGGGTTTCTCTGTTACTTGCCTCGCTGCGGTGGGATGGGAGTCATGACTGAATTCTGTTCTTTTTGAAACAAATCCTCCTATGTGAGGTCAGGCATAAAGTGTACTCCTTACACAAATTCTTGATGAAATTATTACTACTTACTGTCTTAATTGAGTGTTAGCAAATATTTTATGTTTGTTAAAAGGAGGCTTTACTGAAACTTGTTGTTATTTGAGATGGGGATATTCATATAAAAGTATGTAATATCATTACTGTTTAAAAATGCCTCTCGTGGGAGATATCTGACATAGCTAAAGTATCTGAGGCTGCTCTGTAACTTATCCAGAGCAGAAAATGAACTGGTCTGCAAAACTGTTCTTGAGTCATATTCTTTTTTCGGTGCTGTTCAGCCTGTCAGGATTGCACTGTTGCAATGAACATCAGATTAATTCCCCCTTTAACCTCCCATCATCTTTTTTTCTGTTCTTCTCCAGTATTTTATACTTTTTTCATTTGACTTTATCCTCCCACAATGATTTGCCTTGTGCGGCTTCGGTCTTAAATCCTTTTCCTCTCTAACCAATGCTCTATTCCCTGTGCCTCTGATAAAAATTTAAGTGATAACTGAGGCTCACAATCTCAGTGAAGTTTGTTACCAAACTTCCCTTGGCTTCTTTAATTAATACACTACTTGCTAATGACTTCCAGACAGCATTAGGATATGTTATATTCAGTATTGTAAGCTGAAGACATGCATAAAAACTTGTTCAGAAATCCATTAAAAATGTTTTTGTGACATGTTTTGCAAGTGTCAGCTAAAACTGAAAAGCGTATTTGTTTTGGGTAAAAAAATTTATCTTGAAGCTTTTAACAACTGGATTGTGCAAGACCAAGAAAATAAAATCGATAAATCTGGTTTTGTTGTCCAACTGAAATGAAGTGCAGTATATAAAGTGACAATGTTACTGAAAAACAAAACAGAATTTTTCAAATCTTTTTGGTTTCAGTGATTAGGAGCAAGGCAGATAAAATGTTTGTAGTTGGAAAGAGTTTCTTCTGATGGTCTGCTTCAGTTTATAAGGAGTTAGAGGAATTCTGCTTGACTGCTGTTGTACATTTGGGCTTTTAAAAATCTCTTCTTTTATAATCTGTAAGTTTTTGCAGCTGTTTATACAATTTTATATTGTAAGACTGAATAAACTCTTACTCTGTTTTGTAGGATTCAGGCACTTTGGATGTACGAGGAATAGGTCAGGTTCTACCCACACATCTCATGGAGGAGAGATTGATACGACAGCAACAAGAGATGGAAGAAGATCAGCGCTGGCTTGAAAAAGAGGAGCGATTCCTGGTAATACTTTGTTTCATAGTGCTTCTTAATTCATTTCCTTTTTTCTTTTTTTATTGCAGCTTGATAAAACTGATCAGTCTGTGAAATGAGATCATTTACTGAACATAGGAGTCACTACCAAAATGTAGGTTCAGAAACAGTTTTTAAACTAAGTGTTCAGCTAGTAAGCGAGTCCTGTATTATAAATACCTTGAACAGCTGGGGTTTTTAGTCAATCTCACTTTATCCAGTTGAGTATTTATGTGTGAGAACTTGGGGCTATAATTCTGTGCCAGTCTGCAGATTGCCAGTTTGTTCTTGAGGACATAGATCTGTGCATACCCTACCCCTAAAAAAAAGGGATAACCATCAGCCATCTAACAGCACTGACTGTCGTGAGAACTGTAAACAGTCTTGTACTAGAGGAATAATGAGACACATTAGTGGGAAGAAATAATTTGAGAGAGCTCTGTGAGGTGAGGAAAAGGCTCTGAACATCACCAGGAGGAAAAAGAAGGGATGCGTTAGTAATCGGATATTCTGCTGCTGTTTCTCTGCAGTTCTGTGTTTTCTTGTTGTCAGTGCCACCAGTGAATGTTTTTCAGTTCAACTTCGGCTTCCCAGTTGTCAAAATTCAAGTTCTGTGTTAAAATTCCCTTGCTGGAGACTGATGGCTACTGACACAGAAGATGGTAGTAGCGTGTTACTCTATAGGCTCCTGCTGGGGAGCCTGTAGGTGCATGAGCCTCGCTTGACAGATGGATAATTTACAGTGGTGTGGTATGGGTTGTGACAAACATCAGTCTCATGTTTGGTCTTAAGAAGCGTATTTCAAGGAATGTTTTGGTTTGGAAGCTTTTTATGTTGTACATAGTTACAAAACATGTATACAGGCAGGTGCTGTGCGTTTGTTGCAGGAGGTAAGTTTGAATAAATTCATTTTCTGATGATAGCAGATGATGATAATGGTCTGTGGTTTCTGTAAGAGTTCTCTGCGCTGTTTAGAGCTGGTCTCCAGGAAAATCTTAGTTTTATAGATGAATTATTTTTATTTTACACACCAAAGTTGCTGGTCATGAATGTTTCACAGAACTTGAAACAGTCTTGCAGGGATCTTGAAGCCAGGACATTAGGTTCCTTGAAAATAAGTTTTTATGCTTTATTCTACAGGAAGTCAGTGGGCAGGAATGGAGAGCAGATCTTGTGCATAGATGATGTTACCAAGACCTTATTCCTTGCCAATTGAATTATCTCAGTCTCTCAGGGGTTTAGTTATTTATGGTATTCAGAACTGTTCAGAACAACTGGTGGCTGTGGAGACAACCAAAGTAGGATAAATCTCTGCTAGCTCTTGAGATGCCTCCTTGTCCAGTACATGTTCTAGCCAAGATACAGATTGTGCCAGTGTGAAGATGTTACTTTTGATTAAAAGACGTTGAAGCTTGCTTTTGGCTGGTTTCCTTGTAAGTGCACTTGGGAATCTGAGGTTTTGCATTGGATGACCATAAAGAAACCCATATTGCTTGTCCAGTTTATTACAAGCTGAAGAGAGGGAGGGGAAAGGAAAATTTCTTCCCTAATTTAGGCATTACCTTTTCCAGTCTTGAATGGTACCAAGTTGCTTGTGGCTTTCAAAAGCCCAGGAGGTCAAATTGATCCCATTGTTGGTTAAAACTTTCAAGATGGTCAAGAACTTTTTGAGGAATTAATATGCTTACTGAGAGTGAGGCATTGTGATTTCAGGTGGCAGTAGATTGTGTGGGAACTTTCTGCAGAAAACTTCCTGACATTTCTGAACATTCTGGCTTTTTCTGCTGAATAGATGGTAATTATTTGTCGTGTTTGTTACTCTCTTTTGATTCAGCCTCTGGACCATTGGGATGTTTACTGTCCCCCAAATTGCTGCTTGAGGAGGGACTTGCTGATTTTTCTTTTCATCTGTAATACAGTCTTAGCATATGTTTGGAAAAAAATTACTGTGTTTTCATTATGTGTTAGTTTTTATTGCAACCCGCTACTCGAAGGAGAACTAGCACTGATGAACTTGTGAGCAGCTGTACAGGTTTGCAGCTTTACTAGGGCTGGATTTAGTTGATGTAAACTCTTAGAGGGTTAAAAAGGCAAAAAACAGAGAAAGTTTGAGTGGAAGTAAGAATGAACTTAAATGGCCAAAATGAGGAACTGGAATCCATAAGAGACTTTGGTTCTTTTCTTTCTGCATTAATATTTTGACTATATGGACTGGGATTTATACTTGAATGCCTGTTACAGATGTATACGCTATGTCAAAAGCTAAACAACTAATAATAGCCACAGGTTATATTTGAACCCATACTAGGATGTACGTTAGAGGAATCTTCAGTTTCTATCTAGATGAGTGTTTCTTGGAAAAGGAATCTGGTTTTCTAGGTTTAGCACTGAAAAAATCAAGACAAGTTGAAAAGTCACTGTAGGGAGTCACTCTTGGAGGCCTTGCAGATCTCCTGAAGGATTTCCACAATTTGTATATGAGAATCCAAACACAGGTCCAGTGTAAAATAATTTATATTATTTATAAACACGCACACTCCTTGCCCCGTGTTCTCTAATGAGTGACTGGTGATATTTCTTCTCGTGGGAGAAGGGACTTCCTTAATTTAATTCCAGGTGATTTAGGGGGGAGAAGCAACTTAGTTTTTCAAAATTGTTGTCATGTCTCTCACTTGCTTTGAGATACCTCTCTGCACTAACACATTTTGATAAAATAGTTTTGCTGGAGCGTGGCTCTCCCTTGTCTGCTACGGGCAGTTTTCAGAAGAATATTTTTTCTTTTGAGTAAAGAGAACAATAGAGGGAGTTGAGCCAGATTTTAATTTCTAACTCATGTATACTGTACAGTGTAGTGTTCTTGGTTAAAACTGCTTACTTTCAAAAGCTGCTCTGTTGCACAGTATTCAGGCTCCTACAGTGTATCTCACTTCTGCCACTGAGAATGGGACTCACAGGGGAGTAACTGCAAATAACTTAATGTAAGACACTGCAAGGAGAGTAAAAATCCTCAGTGGGGTTTCTGTTAGTATAATTTTTGTTTCCCCAGAGTAACACCAACTTGCTCATGTCTTGAAATTTATTGCTTCTTCTACAGGGAAAAAATACAACTCAAACCGTGTTAATAAAAGTGTAAACAGTGCTGATGCTGTGTTTGCTAGAAGAGACACTCCGGATGAAGAATTAAATTGCAATGGCATTGAAAGGGAAATTTGCCAGTCTTTGGAGAGGTTGTTATCTGTGTAAGCAGTTTTCCTGAAACTTGTCCCTTGAGAACATGTGACTAGTCAGTACTTGAAAGGAGATAGAAATTTTGTTTGCAAGCTGCAGCCTTAACAGAATCCAGAATTCTGAAATTCTGATGAAAAAAAGGGAAAACAAAGAGATCTCTCTTCACGGGAAGCTCCTGAGTGAAAATAAATATGTTGTGTAAAAGCTGAAAAGAAGTGTTTAATTTTAAATTGTACCAAATATCTCCATTCAGAGGTGAGAAGAGAACTGTTGGGGGGGTTGATTTTGGGAGATTTTTCCAGGACTGACATTCCCTCCCATCCCCGATAGAGAGGGGATGTTGCACACTAGTCTAGTAGCTTTAATGGACACTGATTGAACTTGTGGGCTTTCATGCTCACTTGATAAAATTGCTTTGGATATTAGCATCTCCAGGAAGGAGGACAGAAATCTCTGTTAGGTTTTTTTTAGGTGCTGCAGTCGTGAGGACTGAGTTTTTCACTCATCATGTGGTGTTTAGACCTCAGCAGGCAAGCAGAATCACAATAAATTAATCAAGTTCTCATTCTGCACTTTCTTCTGTGTTGTTTTTTGATCATATGGGTAATTCCCATCCCCAAAAGATAAAATTGACGAAGATTAACCAAGATTTCACTTGTACATGATGCATAGCACATAGAAGACTAACGAGCAACCTCTGTCCCCAAAAGCAGTGCTCCGCAACTGCAAATGGCCTCTCTGCTGCTGGCACTTTCAGCTCACTGTAACGAGAAGATTTGGCTCATTACCCTGCAGTCTGGCACGCCTGCTGTGATACTTGCACTGATGTCCAGCTCGCTGTCTTTCTGTGTGAACAGATACTGTAAAGGAAAGTCAGTCCATAAGGATCAGATTACTCCATTAGTGCCACAGAATGTTTATGTTCATCTTCCAGCCCTAGCTTCTTGTGTATAGCATTAATTTAAAAGGAAATCAGTTAATTCATTGAGTTAAAATCCTTTTAAAAGGCCCCCTGAGGATGCTTTTATTTGTGGGTTTTGACAGAAGTTTGGAACTCCCAGAAACTATCCTGATTTTGTTTTTAATTCCTTCTAGGAGAAAGTATACCTTCTGTATTTTAATACAGCGTTTGACCCAAAGTGAGAATCATCTGCAAGCACAGATAGGAAACCGCTGGTGGTGGTGATGCCATGAGAGAGCCGGATGAACTGGTCCTAGTTAGTTTGCTTCACAGTTTTAGGAAAGAAACTGTGTCACTTTGTGTCTTTTCAAGGTGTTTTTCTAAGTTCAGCAGTGTAGTGAAGTTAGTGAATTCTGTGCTGTAACTTTTGGCACCATCAGTAACAATCTCTGAACATTTTACAGAATGCTTTTCTTCTTTTGGGCCTGTTTAATTACCTGCTTCCTCATTTCTACTTAGTTTCCAGTTTGAACCTTTCTTTTTTGGTGGTATGGATGGTATGTAGCATTGTTTTTAATCATATAAAATGAAGATATAGATGTGCGTGCCTTTTGGTAACTCCTCAGCAGACAGAGCTCTGTTGTGCTAAGAAATTTATTGTTCTTTCCTGTGATAGGTTAAGAAGAAATAATTCGCATAGTTTCCTTATCGTGTTCAGTTTTTTTCTGAAATTCCCACATAGTTGTGGTTTTGTCCTATTTTGACACTGAGAACTCCAATTCAAATGTAATTGATGTGAACTGTTGCTAAAATAAGATCTTAATTTTTAGCCTGAGAAAATCCCACCAAGACATTACAGTTTGGCATCTCCTGAGAATGCCAAGACTTAGATGTTCTTTTATTAGCGAGTAACCAGAAATACTGGAAATAAAGTAGATTATGTTCCAGTTTGTCAACATACACATCCTGTCTGAAAAGCCACTTGTTGATGTTTCCAAAGATTTCAGATAGTAGACTATTTATTAGGAAAAAATCCGTTTACTTTTGAAGGATTTTGATTTTCTGCAAGATTTTAATAACATGTAGCTCCTCCCTTAAATATGTATCTCTAATGAATATAATAGTAAGTAGATAAGACTTTGCTTAAACTTGTATTTTAGTTTAGTACATTTGGCACTTTCACAAAAAAAAAAAAATTGAGAGCCCTATGGTTTGTATGCTTGAGAAGTCCTGTCATATGAAACACATTTGAAGATGATTTGTCATCTTTGGTCACTGTTTAGCTTCAAGGCTTGAAAAAGATACTCACAAGTGACAACTTTTTCAGGTAAAGCTGGAATCCGAAATATCCAATTGTTGCATTAAGGACATCTGAAGGATCTCAGTATTAAAAATTCAGCAATGCATTGCAATGTAATGCCAGCATAAGGGACTAAAAGTAAAGCTCTTTAGAGCTGTAGAATTGCTGCTAAATTCTACTTTAAACAGTGGGAGTTTGATCTTGGATATCACCTTTACTGTAAAATAGTTTGGCTTTTGAAATTTCCACAGCTACCCAAATTAATAAATTGGAATATCATTTAGTAAAATGGAAGTTGTTAGGATTTATTAGAACAGAGTCAAGTCACTAGAAATGTATTTTGGCCTCCTCTTAGTCATTGGACACAAAAGTGTGGTGGATATTTCTCTGTTGTTCATTGTGTTCCTGACTGTCTGGGTTTTGATGGGGCAGAAGGAGGAAAATGTTTGAAGGTTACGTACCACTAAATATTTTCAACCCTTATTTCTGAAATGTAAATATGCACATGGCCGAGATGCAGGTGGGTTGTATAGCTGTAGCGACTGCTCATGGACTCTCTGGTTTGCCACTACCCATTGGCACTTGGTGTCTTCACTTTCAGATCAGGTTCTTGGAGATGCCTGGGCAACACCACCACCTTCCATGGCTTCACCTGCATGGGGGTAGTCAACAAGACTCAGGATTTTTGTTGGTAATGGGTGAAGCAAGTGTTTGCCAAGTTAATAATGCTCATTTTAGTAATATTTTTAATGTATTTAGAACCTTTCTGAGAAATTATTCTTAGACTGTAGCTAGGTGGCTGTATACTGTTCATGTACGTGGTGTACTGCATTCCACTTACACGCTGCACTTCTGCTGTTGGTGGTGTCTTGGGTGGTTGAACTGTTGCTGTGATGTGAGGTTGTAGAATTGGGCATTTAGAGACTAGATGCTGAAAGGTACGAGCTTGTTAGTAAGACAAGGAGAAGAGAAGGATATTATGTCTGTTAATTTACATTTTTTTCTTATAATAATAGAAAAAATCTGTTGTTTTTTTTTCTTACTAGTGTGTGGGTTTGTGCTTCTGAATCTTTTAAAATGCTCAATATTTCATTATCTTTGGAGTCTGGTTTAGAGTGCATTTCTGGAGTAAAAAATTGTTAAAAGTGCAAACAGCATTAACAACTCGTGTGAAAAAATAGTCTTTTACTATTTCCAAAGACTTCAGGCACTTCCCTGGCTAGAAACAAACATGAAACAAAGGCAAACTGTGAACATGAGTGTAATAGAAATGCAATTAGTAGTATGCTTAGAATAAACAAGGATAGCTGTTTGGTTTAGCTTGAAAATATAGAATCGCAACTTACTTTAGATCTCTGATGGAGTATCTAACATATCCATATCAAATGAGACTTCAATCAGAAAAAATCCTTCATCATAATAAAGGAAATAAAACTGGAGATTTGTCAGTGGTAGGTTTCATCATAAAATCTGTCACAAATTACTGGAGATACATTGGGAAATCACTTGCTTGTGTCTGCTTCAGTTCTTTGTGTTTAAGATAGGGTTAAGCTTTTCCCTGTCTGGTATGATTTGTCTATTTTTAATCTGTAAGTTCTTTCAGGCAGTGACTGTCTCTGGCTGTGCCTCAGTCTGCAGAAGACTGAATGAAAATCCAAAATACTCCCTTCTGGAGTATTTTTAATGATGAAAGATCAATATTAGTGCATTTTTGCAAGTTCCGTCTGCCCTGCTGGCTTTTTAGGGATGTATGAGTTGGAACTATTCTTTAGTGCTTTTAGAAATAAAGAAGGAAAAGGATCTAGACTAGCTTTAAACAAGAAACAAATATATTTGTCCCCCAAAACTGACCCTGAAAGAACATGTATTTATTCACAGGGTCAGTTTAGAGTCAGTATTCACATGCCTGCTTTTCTCTAAATAAAAAATTTTCATTCTCATTTTGTGTGTGTCTGTTTTATGTATATATCCATACAGACATGAAATAAGTTGTATTTTCACTGATGCAGATGTGCATTTTATCCATCTTCTGAAGAGAATGAACTCTGAGTCTCATAGGGTAGTGAATTCAAGCATCAGATAAATCCTTTCTTTGTTGTGTGCCAGAATTAGCACGCTAGAAAAACACTCGTTTTGCTGAACTTGTATCTTCAGATGAGTAGTAACCTTTGTTTCACAACCACTCTTCCTTTGTCTTTACATGTACTTAATGTTGTCCTCAAAGAATGGGTATAACATACATACATTTGCTGAGCAGATGAGATAAATCACCAATTTCTATGCAAAAAAAAAAAAAAAAAAAAGAACCAGCCCAGAAAGCCAACCGTGTCCTGGGCTGCATCAAAAGAAGCATTAGCAGCAGGTTGAAGGAGGTGATTCTCCCCCTCTGCTCTGCTCTCATGAGACCCCACCTGGAGTACTGTGTTCAGATGTGGGGCCCCCAACATAAAAAAGACCTGGACCTGTTGGAGAGAGTCCAGAGGAGAGCCATGAAATTGGTCAGAGGGCTGTCCCCTATGAGGACAGGCTGAGAGAGTTGGGGTTGTTCAGCCTGGAGAAGAGAAGGCTCCAGGGAGACCTAACAGCAGCCTTCCAGGACCTGAAGGGGGCGAGAGATGGGGAGGGGCTTTTTACAAGGGTGTGTAGCAACAGGATGAGGGGTAATGGATTTAAGCTGAAAGAGGGCAGATTTAGACTAGACATTAGGAAGAAATTTTTCCCTGTGAGGGTCATGAGGCACTGGAACAGGTTGCCCAGAGAAGCTGTGGATGCCCCATCCCTGGAGGTGTTCAAGGCCAGGCTGGATGAGGCTTTGAGCAACCTGGGCTAGTGGGAGGTGTCCCTGCCCATGGCAGGGGGTTGCAACTGGTGATCTTCAAGGTCCTTTCCAACCCAAAACCATTCTATGATTCTATGATTTTTATTTTTTAAAACAACCAAGCCCCAAGTTCCTGTATCTCGCTTAAAATGTATAAAATAAAAATTCTTTTTTTTTTTTTGCTCGTATCAGGAGAATAGTGGATCTGGATGGCTTTATTAGCTTTTGGTATCCAAATGCAGTGTTTGAAGAGCTCCGGTAATTGGTCCCATTTGCAGGCTTGGCGAGGGAGCCAAGTACATATAAGCCGTCCGCAGGCAGGAAGCGGGAATTAATGTGCAGCGTTTCTCATCCCGCGGTTGAAATTTTGCTGTTGGGAAGCAAACAATTTTTTAAAACAAAACAAAACTTTTGCTGCCTTTGAGAAAATTAAAATGCAGGTTTTCCAGTGTTGTGTTAGGGCAATGGTACTGTCAATATTTATAACACGCATTTTTCCACATGTGCTGAGAAGGGGTGATCGAGAAGTAGTCGAGAAGGCTGCCAGGAGTTTCGGTAGCTGCAGTTGCAGAAGCACGTAGTCGCAGCAGCGGGGGGTGTAGAGACTGGAATGAAATGACATCTGTATTTGTCAGTGTAAATTTTTAACAGTGTTTTCCTGTCTTTGACATGATTTTAAGCCTAGGTCGTGTGAATCGGTAAGCAGAGTACAGAATGGAATTTTTATTTTTTGTTTTAGAAACCTGATGTGCGGCTCTCCAGAGGCAGCATCGACCGAGAGGATGGAGGTCTCCAAGGCCCAGTAAGTATTTGTGGGATCTTTGCATCTCCCAATTCTTTCTCTGGTTTCCTGGTAGAACATGTTGTACACTATCTTGATTATGGGAAATGATTTAAAGTTTTTGCTAAATGTTTCCACTATTATTGCATGGTTCTACGGCTTTCCAAGAGGCTCAGTTTCTGTGGGAACAGCAGCTATGTGGCAAACTTGTTCATGCAGCAGTTTGGGAGATTTGGGTTTTGTTGTTTGGGTTTTTTTTTTTCCTTTGAAGCTGCTTCTATAACAAATACTAAAATGTTTCCACAAATATGTTGCAATATTTTTTTTAATGTTCATGTGCTCTATAATTAGGCCTTTTATTTAAAAATCTGGATAGTTTTCTGAAAGTTCTGTCAACAGGAAGCAAGATCAAAATAACTTTTGCAGTTGTTTAAATATCTGAAGGGTTTTCTTACAAGGAATGTAAATGTTACTGTTGTATTACCCAGAAATCTGCTTGGGGTAAATGATCTGCTACGAAACAAATGGAGTAAACCCCATAGCCATTCATTTCTTGCCAGACAACAGCTGCAGCTGTGGTATTCTTTCTTACCAGATTAATTCCTGTCGGTTTAACTAAAAAGGTCTCTCCAATTGTTTAATTGCCATTGGAATCTCTGAATCACACTGATTGAAAGGAGGGGTTACGCTACGGACTATTAGTGATAGAAACCTGATGCTTCAGCTACTGTTTGTCCCCAGGGATCACCTTAAAAATAGTTAATATTTTGAATTCACTTTCCTAGTTCATTTGGGTTGCAATAGTAAACTCCTAGTTTGGCTTCAGTATTTCTTCACTACCTAAGAATTTAGGGACTCTCCCTGCATTTGCAGCCAAAGTACAGTCATGAATGAGTGTATTAATGACACACTGCAGCATGGTCTCGAGAGACATTCGTGTCTGGAAGCTGCTAAGATTTTTTCTCTGAAATTGGAGAAGACTGTTAGTTATTATGTCTTCACTACTTTTGCATCGTTATGTAAGAGCAAGTAAAATATCGCTGCATTTTGTTCTATTCATGAAGATGCTTTGAGATAACCTGGAGATTTTGAAGTCATGTCAGAGGTTTGGTTCAGGTGGGTGTCAGTGGCAATGGGTTCCAAGTACAGCTTCTTGCAGCCAGCTGTTTTCTCTTGGCTGCTGCTTGTTTTCAGGATGACTGCCTGGGCTTAGAAGAAAAAATATAACACCCAGATCCCAAACTGCTTCTAGGGGAAGTCTTGTGTTCCCAAACAAGATAGTACAATTTCACACCC